TTTTATAACGAGAAAACGTCAGTAATCACGATATTTAAAAACTCGACTTTTTAACACATAATACGCCATAACTCAAGAAACACTTTAGATATCTATTAAAACTTTTTTTTATTTTGGAGATAGGATCTTTTACAATATGTTTACATTCGATAAGGTTGTTTTTTTCCATTAAAAAAAACAACCCCTCTATTTACTTTTAGAGCATACCAATTTTCAGCAGGCGTGTAATTTTTTTTATTGATAAAGATTTTCACTTACTGTCTACGAAGAAAATACAGCAGAAATATTAAGAAAGTTTTTGAAAAAACTACAATCAATTATATCTAATATATTTCGAGATATCGATTTTTGAATTGAGAGTTCTAATAGCCCGATCACAGTCAAAAACCAACTCAATTCCCCTTATTTTTACCAAAAATGCAAGTGATTCTAGCTTGCACTTTTTTCAAGCTATAGGGAAAAATCACAACGACTCGTTAATAAATAAGCAAATAAAGTATCAAGAGACGTAATTAAATCATGAAGCTGAACGCATGATGTACACCTTTTCTTAGAACTTTAAGTACTGACAGAGCTACAATCTGCTATATCCCCTTCCACGTCTCTTAGCTATGTGCACATAGGCCAGTCAATCTGGAGGTTGAGATGGAAAAAATTAGTAACCAACCGATCTCAAGGGGAATGAGTGATAATGATCTCTTATTTAACCCCTCATAGTCCCATTCGGTCCCAGTGGGGGAAGTTTGAAAAAAATCACCGCCATCTTGGATTCTTTCGTTTTTTTTCAAATATCTCCGTTTGCATAACTTTTTTCTTAAAAACTAAAGATATGTTTTTTGTAGAGAATTCAATTTAGAATATTTTACCTTCAATCATCTTTTCTTCTAAAATAAATAGTAATAGAGATAGAGCAATTTTTTACTATACGTTTTATAAATTTTCCAGTTTTTTAAACCAATCAGCTATAATTTTTGCGTTAACAGTATAGTGTTAATATAGATAAACCAAGTATAAATTTAAGCATTAAAGCAATTAAAATTAACGTTAAAATACTATTTATTAAATAAAATGATTGTTAAAAAAAATTATTATTAAATTAAAGTTATTATGGCGTCATCTTGAGCGTCACTTTTCGCTTCAACTAAAATACAAAAGTTTGTGCAACTGATTCCGTTGCACTGACCACACTTTGCAAAACATTTAAGACCCAGTTTTCTACAAGAGCAATTTTTAGAGCACTGACTCTCTTTGCAATTGCAAAAAAAAATATTTTAGTATTTTAGTAGGTCAAGAGGCGCCACATCTTCTGTTGATTGAATAGGTGTCAGATTGCCATTTAATCTTTCTTCCATCCATATTGTAAAAGATCTTACTTGTTACCAATCCCTTCTTGAATCTAAAAAATACAACTTATAACATTTGTTATAATAGATTTATCTTCACAGTTACAGTTACAGTCTCAGTAAATGGAGTTTTGCAGAGTTCTCAGTTGGAGGCAAATTAGCTAAATTAAAGGTAGTCTTAAGGGCTTGTCCTGATGCAACCCTATTATATAGAGTGTATCTCAGATGATTAATATGTCTAATATAGCTTGGGCAGTGATATAGCTTTAAAAGACAATTTAATCCTGACTGAAACAAGTCATTTTTGTTAGCATTTTTTTCTAAAAATACGTCGAGGTATTGATAAAGATCGTTGTTTTTTCAGTATCGACAGACACATTTTTGTCAGGATTAAATTATTTTTTAAAGAAAAAAATACTGCCCAAGCTATATCAAACATATTAACCTTCTGAGATACACTTTATACAATAGGATTACATCAAGACAAGCCCTTAAGACTACCTTTAATTTAGCTAATTTGCCTCCAACTGAGAACTCTGCAAAACTCCATTTACTCAGGACATACTATCAGGTAACTGTAAAGATATATATATATATACAGGGTTATTCACCACATACGACACGGAGTATTGTAGCTAAACGTTGAGATTTTTTCAAATTGTAAGTTTGGGGTTCGTTGAAGGACTATTAGAGCTACAATTTAAAAATATTTTTACAAGATACAGAGTATCCCAAATAAATAAAAAATATCAAAGTTGTATTTTTTTAACTGGAACATCCTGTATATTATTACATTTTTAGTTTCTACGATTAAAATAAAGGTAAATTTGATTAAGGTTTATTATATTTAAACCTTACCGTTTTTGAAATATTTTCAATTTTGTGAAATTGCAGTAAAATTTTTAAAAATTCATTTCTCCAAGGGTGTCAATGTTTTTAATACTAAATATTTAATGAAGTTTATTTATTGATCAGTTATTGTGTTGCAATAATAAAAATAATACTACCTTATACAGAGTGTCTAAAATTTTTTTTTAAATAATTATTAGCTTCAAACGGCAATAACTTCTTTAATTTAAATGGAATGCCCTGTATATTTTAGGAGAATCAGATGCCCAATTAAATTGTCTATCAAATTGTATTATACCATTTTTTACCTATCCCTTCAAGTTTTCGTAGAAAATGCATTTTCTTATAATTTAGACCTCATTTATCAATATATCCATGGAATATTGACATTTTTAGATTGTTTTTAAAGCAACAAATGTACAAAATGTACAGACTAGTAATATTATCGTTTTTAGCAAAACGATAATATTACTAGCCCATTTGTATGCAAAAAGAAAACTATTTAAATCTTTATAAAAGAGTATACCATTAACTAAATATAACACCATTATTTCCGCCCATATACTAATTAAATACATACTTAATTGTGTTCGTTAATAAATTATTATAAATAAATGTGGATTTGACTCAGAAATCAATATAATAATAAGTTATCAAATTAGTCTCTGTTGTTCTAAATAAGCATTTATTAAAAAATGAAATATCATTTTTAAGGTGTTACTGTTTATCACACTGTCTAATGCCCATACAAAATTCAGTTTTTTAGTATTTGGAGCAATTATTATTAATCAACGCAAACAGTCAGTTAATGTAGTTTGAATACTGGAATCATATTAATTGATCCTCTTTAACAAACATTTAAACAGTTTTTTTTTATTTTTTAATGAAATAAACGAATTATATCGACAATATTAGTATCTGTACTCTTTAAAAATATAGTAGCAAAATATAAATAAAATAATATATAGTAAAATATATAGCTCATAGTTCGGGTTAGACGCCAAAGGCCGCGCCACTAACACAGTCTTCAAAAATTAACGTTGATCGGTCTCTCTCACTTTAGTTATTAGTGTTCTCTCTGGTACCGTCTAGTAAGAAATCAACTGATTGAACGACAAAAAGCTGGTGAGACTAATTTAAAGATTGTACATCGGGATGGTTTTCCTGTTGTAACGTTTTTAGTTCGTTACATGTCTTTTTTATATATAATATATGATGTCTGGCGTATCGTTACCCGATTCCGTATCGTTCAGGCCGCATAATTTGTTTGATTCGCTTGACGTAGTTCTAACGTTCTCAAGTCGACAATCCTGTGCTGCTCTGTGGGCATTTATTTTCAAGGTTTCGCTCTCCGGGCTTAACTTCACTTTTTGTCTGGCCTTTTGCCGGACGGCTCTTGACATTTTCAAAAAAATCAATTAGCAAAAAAAAAATTCTATAAATTATTTTTTACTTAGAAAACATGTCAATGTAGTATTGAGCAATAAGAAGGATTGGAAGAGCGAAACGCTTGCCCAGCAGTTAAAAGACCATACCATAACTTGGTATACTGATGCTTCCAAAACCAATACGGGAACAGGGATCGAAGTGTTTGGGCCGAGAGCTAATTACTCCGAACCAATGGGCACTTACCCTAGTATCCTACAGGCAGAAATCTACGCTATCGAGAGATGCGTACAACTTATCTTAGATAGGAACTATCGGAAACAAGAAATAGCCATCTTATCTGATAATCAAGCAGCGTTAAAGGCGATCAACTCAGTATCAATCAATTCGAAATTGGTCAAAGAATGCATAGAGAAGCTGAATAAATTAGGCAAAGAAAACAAAGTCCTCCTACACTGAGTGCCTGCTCACCAAGGGATAGAAGGCAATGAAAAAGCAAATAATCTAGCTAGGAAAGGAGCGAACACTCCACTAACTGGACCAGAACCGTTCTGCTTTCCAAGTGGTAACCAACTCAAGGCGGAACTCAAGAACTTCCATCCGGAAGATTCCATCCGCAACCTGGAATGGAAATCTTGCAATGGTCTAAGACACTCGAAGAAGTTTCTGAGGGCTTATGATCAAGAAAAATCACAGATCTTCCTGGGTCTGAGTAAGAACAATCTTCGGATTGTCACGAGGTTTTTAACAGGACACTGTCTCCTCAATGAACACCTCAGTAGATTGAAACTAAGAAGAAATGGCGAATGCAGATTCTGTGGGGAAGATGGTGAAACACCAGTACCCCTCATCACTGAGTGCGCCGAGACGACAACCATTCGTGCCATGAATTTTGGTACGACTGATATTGGAGATGGAGAACTACCCTCTATAAAACCGTCCCAGATACTGGCTTTTGTCAAAGCCCTGGGACTGTATGATGAGTTATGATTCAAGAAAGGGGGACACAATGGATGTGTAAGGTCGAAGTGATTAACCCCCCTCCCACTCATTCTAAATTCTAAATTCTACTTAGAAAATCGATTTTGACGGCGCAGGCTGCCACTTTATTTTCCTGTATAACTTGGTTAATACAATAGAACTATTTTGATCAATAGTCAGGAACTATAGAACTCTTGTTCTAGAATATTATTTCCACTATCAGAACTGTTCCAGGATAAAAAAAAAGGGTGCTACGTGAAGTTGGCACTCCCCTGTCATATCTCCCGAAATTAACCAGAACTATTTTTCTAACTTGTCAAGAACTGTTGCAAATCTATCCAGAAAAGTGAAATTGAGTATTTATGTTATAATACTTATGGTCTTCAATTAGCCACCTTATAGTTAATAAAAAAAGTTACTGATATTATTAACTGATCTTACACGTTCTTTTTAAAAAGTTCCTCCTTATCTAACATATTGAATGTAAAGCATAGACCATCTCCTGTCAGGATGGGTGTGAAAAAGTTTATACAATTTTCGTTACGTTGGGTATATCTGCAGCTTATTAAAACGTCATTAAAATCAGGTGCAATCTACAAAAAAAAACAATTAGAAATAAAAAATATATAAAGCCAAAAAATAGTTTTTTTTTACTTTTATTCAATGTATCTCTATCATCATTTATAATAACCACTTAATAAATAGACTAAGGAAAGAGCCTAATACTATTTTTATATTCATGCATTGAGACGAAATTGGCGTCACAGAAATACCTTCTATTGTCAGTTTTATTTGTCAAAAAAACTCATTGGTATTAACTTTGGAATTCATTTTAAATATAGAATACCTTACAAAGCGAATTTCTGCATAACTTTAAATCCGATTGAAAAATCATTGAAAGAAATTTCAGTAAGTGAATACGTAATAATATAATTATTAGTAAAACTAATTTAGATAATCTTATAATTTCACATATGGTCGGTTTTTATGACGAAAATGCGTAACTCGATTTTTGGCGATTTCGAGATATCAACGTCATCACATGCATTGGGTCATTTTTTAATATAGCGAATTTGCGCATCTCAATATTATACCTTTTTCATTTTATATTCATTTAAAAATTTACGCCATCTCAAATGCTAGAATTCTTCGTTATGACGAAGAGACATATGTTGAGATGGGGCTCTTTGTTATATCATTTGTTATACTAATTGTTATACTACAAGAAAGATGGAATTTCAGATAGGTCCTTTGTTTTAAGTTATGAAAATGCGTGTGAGAGAAAATGACACATTCTGCCCGTTATTTTCTAATGGTTGCTTGGGACAAAATAAAAGTTCTATCATGGCAGCAGCCACAATAGGCCCTCGCGGCCTCAGTGGTGGGTCCCACCTGGGACTCACTCTTAGTAAAATACAAAAAAAATGGCAGCAGCTCTTTTTGACAGTGTGGATAATTCAACGCACTAGAAAAAAATAAGCCTCTGATTTTTTTGCCACAAACTATGGTTAGAAAGAATTAGACTTTGCACATTGCGTAGCCGGAAAATTGTCCGAGAATAAATCACCGAAACGAAAACTGCCTTAATGAAAATTGTCTGAAATCATAGTTTCCCTAGGAACATTTTAGCGAACCAGAAAGTATTCCGAAAAATACAATAATTGTCAGCTCATTATCATTGTCAGTCCATTATCATTGTCATCCCAGTCAATTTATGGAAAATTGTATTTATTGTGCCTATCACCATCAGGCATAAACACGTAGAAAAGAAGTCGAATTTGTAATCGGTAAACAGGCAAAACAGAAACTGTTACCCCACAGTTAATTATATCAAAAAAGCACGGGTGAAGAAAAATGTAATGATTTCGTTTAGTTTGGTTTTTATTAATTTTACCAAAAATCGACATTTTGGGAAATGTTTATTTCTGTCAATTGAAATTCGATGATTTTTCTTTTCGGGCAACTATCTTTTTGGTTAATTTTTTTTTCGATCAATTGTTTTAGGGTAATTTTATTTGATCCGTTGTATTGCTCATGCAATAAAAAAACGGCGAATTATTTATGCCCAATCAGCTGTTACCGGTAATGCCTGAAATTTATAGAACAGTAACCTATAAATAAATTTTTCAAAAATAATAAGATGTCAGTAAATATCCAGAAGATGTTTTATTTTAAATCATTACCTCAATTAACTAAATAATTACTAAAAATATATCAGTACTTAAAAAATCGTATAAAAACAATATTAGGATAAGCTAGATAAGCGTACCTTCATTTGTTAATGTTTTTTTAATTGTTTCATTTATTAATGTTATGTATCATAGTTCTCCCGCGTTCATAGTCACGGTTGAATAATTTTTGTGTTTAGAGGATGTTTGGTCATTACAATCTGTCTGACTGATTAAACATAACTTTATAATAGCTGTCTTAATAACATATGTCAAGACATGTAAAAATAAGTTCATTTATTTTTTGTGGAGCTTGTTTCTATCTTTATCAAAGATCCACTTTTTGATTTGCTATCGTCTGATAAAAGTTCAGGTCCATCGAAAGTGTCTGATACTTTTGATACTATTTCAGAGAAATATTATACAATTTTATACAAAAATCAGCCATACAAATTTAAGTTAAGTAACTCTTAATTTTAGTTACCTTCCTTACCCTGTATCTGCCAAGGTGTTACAGGGCAAACTCACCAAACACGCCGGTATTCAAAGGACATGAGAGCACTACTGAGAGCCTAAGGTATCATCCTTGTGAAAATAAGTTATGTCAGATCGCTCTGGGATCTTACTCTATAAAGAATACAAGGACATGTAGTACCCATATACACGCTGCAGCAGAATTGGTCACCTCAGACGCCATTTTTTTGGACGCAACGAATCATTATTTGTTTTATTTCATAATTTATGATTGTATGATTCACGTATTCTTTTATTAGATTAACTAAACACTATTTATACTCTTTGGCAATATATACGTTTATTTAACAATGTTAACATAATAATAACATTAAAAAATTATTAACATATCTTGATAAAATTTTGATTCTGATATTTTCCTTCAAAAAATTAATATTGTTCATAACTCTTTCTTTACCTTTTTCACGTTCCATAGAATATAATAATATATTTATCAGCAACGTTGGAAGTGACGAGATATCGATTCTGCCCGACTTTTTACCGTATCGATATATTCAAAACGTGACCGGAAACGAACCCTACGCTTGGGTCAACCAGGCGGGCTAGACGATCCTCTGAGAGTAGGTCTTAGCGGAGCAGAAGCACGGAGATACCTCCGACTGCTCCACGAAGGCCTTGCTCCAGAGGAAACAAAAGTGAAAACACTTGTCCGAAAAGGGGAGAGTAAAGAAACCAAGAAACAACCTGACTCATCTCCATCAAAGGGCAAGAGAGGGAGCGAGAACCTCTCATTTCTTCTCCGGCAGGGAGAGAAAAAAGCCAGGATGGAAAGCCGTCCAACACCGGGAGGCAAGCAGGGACGTATCACCAGCTTTGCCGCTATTGCTGGAAAAGTGAAAATGGCGGTGCTGCCAATGGATTTCCGAGAGGTTGCTCTGACCACCGACCAGCAAACGTCTCTAGAAGAGGCTATACTGGACGAAGTAGTGGCGAGCGGATCGCAACACAACGGTCTACAAAATGTGGGTCAGCTGCGTTTTGCGGGGATACGAACCTAAGCTTAAAAATTGGCAAGGGCCGGAACTGGTTGCAGTGAAAGGAGAAAACATCCCTAAAGGGGCGGCCATCACGGTCTTTCTGCCGAGGAGCAAGGAGAAAGACACCACCTACCTGCTGAGCCTTATTCAGGGTCAGAACTTCAATGTAAGGACATCGAGTTGGCGAGTCGTCAACTGGAGGGAGGAAGGTCATGGTCAGGTCCTCACAATAGGAATTGACCTCAAATCCAAGGATGCAATAGAGAAAGAGGGACACATCCTCTATTACAGATACGGGACAACACCGGTATCAGGTCTAAGGAGAGACCAATTTAAAGAGGTGGAGAAAATGGAGACAGATCCTCCAGCCTCCACCTCACGGGTTCCTCAGCCGGAGGCAAGCTCGTCGACTGTGAAGAGCGGCACGGAGGGCCAAATTCCAACCGTGGAAGGGTGTGTACCCTCGGAGGGAGAACTGTTGTCAGAGGAGGATGGGAAATACTCTGTCCCTCTACAACAGAGGTATGATGGGTTATAGACTGTGTGATGACTCAAGGAAGGGAGGCACAATAGATCTTTAAGGTCGCAGTGATTAACCCCCCCCCTCTTACTCATTCTACATTCTTCTACATACACCACGGCACAGTTTAGAAGAATGGTCGCCAGTTTGGTCTCAGGTGCTATTTGTCCTTATATTCTTTAGTCATTGTTTTCATATTTATTACGCGCATATATTTATAAAGTAACTATATCGACTCCAAACAGCATTCTGTGAAGCCGAGCCGGTGAAATGGGCATATGAATCTTCTGAAGGAATTTGTATAAGTCGCTCAGTTAGGCGTGCTCAAGCGTAGTGTGCAAGCCTGGAGTTTGAATTATCGATCGGACAACTAGACCAATGAGAGACTAGACCCTAGCACCAGCTGTTCATTCGTACGTCTTTATACAACTTCGTACAGCTTTCGTTCGACAATTGGTTAATCCTCAGGGTACGGGCTAATCGACATTCGGAATTTTGGAGTTCCGCTATTGCGCCAGTGTCTGCCTAACAAACAAACTTATGTAAAGTATACATGGACCGGTTATCTAGTTGTCTCTAACTCGGCTTCAACTCCAACACATTGCGGGATAGGCGATAATATGTATAGAGTTTATAAATATATGATTATGTGTCATCAGTTTGACGATTTGAAATTGGCGCGCGGAGCTTGCCGACCAATGGTACAGTTATCACCTGTGACCTAGTGACCAACCTGCGCAATATCATACCTTGTTTCCTTTGTATCATGAGCGTAACCATATTTTCTCCATATATAATTTATTATTTGGAACGCTTGACATTGTTTGTCCATTTCGGTAGCAAGAAGTCTGCTTTCTTTCTTTGTATTCAAAAAATAAAAGCAATGTTACAATAATTCGTTTTTTCAGTTTTTTTTTAATTTTTAAGACGTCATAAATCATAATCGTAAATCATAATCATAATCGTCATAATTAATTATTGACTTCCTACGTATAAAATTTGGGACACCCTAACATGGGATTTCATACATTATGTTCAGTTCGGCGATGCAGAATGTGTGGCCTCACATGAGGCGTGGGCGTTTAACCTAGCTTAGCGTAGAGCGGAGAGGACAGCGAAGCGTTTAAATGCATTGAAGTAGTCCCACATACAGGCGGCACGGATTGACGCATATTTTTCTATTGTCCGCTCCGCTCTAAGCGTGCAGCTATCTTAGACTACGGCCAGACGGTATAGTTTTAAATATTAATTACTTACAGCCATTAAAAATTCAATAGTACTATTGTCGATCGTTAAATTTCCCTGGGCGTTAAAGTTCCCTGGATGTTGACCACAAACTAATGACAAGTCAGAAAATGTATTCCTTCTATAAAATAAGATAAATTAATAATACTGATAATATACATAGTTGAAAGATCATATACTCTTCATCGGTCATATTATTGGACATACTCAAATAATAATTTTCGGTATAATTGTATAGCCTCTGACATGCCTTTGTTTCTGGGCAAATCGTAACAGCTGAAATACAAAAAGTTATTAAAAAATAATTATGTTAAATAACTGAAATTTGAGCAGCCTGAATAATTTCGGTTAAATATGCAATACCCTCGAAGCCTGTTTGAAAAGAGAAGGTAAAAATGATTTACTAATAAAAAAGTAATTTTGATGTTCTTGTAGCGTCATGCCCTGCACAGAGCGTAGACGACCTTTCGCGTGTAGAGTTACTGTGCACAAGAGCTGCAACAATTCAGTTTTAAAAAGACTTAAGTCTTAAGTCAATTTCAATACAAAGTTAAAATGACGTTTTAAGTCTTAAGACTTAATAAGTTTTAAGTCTTTGACTTAAGTCATTTTTTTTCAAGTCAAGCCATTTTTGTAAAGATTTAAATCTCATAAAAGACATAAATCTTTTAAACGATTTAAGTTTTTTGTAAAATGACTTAAGTCATTAAAAAAAGATTTAATTTTTTTTTACTGACTTAAATCTTTTCTAAAAGACTTAAATTTCATAAACAACTTAAATCTTCTAAAAGATTTAAGTCTTTTGTAAAAGACTTAAGTCATTAAAAAAAGATTTAAATCTTTTTTACTGACTTAAATCTTTTCTAAAAAAACTTAAATCTCATAAAAAACTTAAATCTTCTAAAAGATGTCAAGAAAGAGAAGTCATTAAAAAAGATTTAAATCTTTTTTAAAGACTTAAATCTTTTCCAAAAAGACTTAAATCTTTTAAAAGACTTAAATCTTTTTCTAATGACTTAAATCTTTTTTTTTTATTTCAGAATAAAGACTTAAATCACAACTCATTTTGAAAATGACTTCAACTTTAAATCTTAGGTCAGCTTTCGAAATATGACTTAATATCAAATGATTTAAGTCATTAAAATGATTTAAGTCAAGAAAAGACTTAAGTTTTCTGTGACCTTGCAGCTCTGGGCACAAGTGTGAGCACTTTTGGGTTTTTAGAGGTTTAACCCCCCCCCCTCCAAAAAAAAGGCTAGGTTAATATATACATATAATATATTATTATGAATAGAGGGTGTATTGCAGGTATGAGAATTGTTAACAAATACATAAAGACAAAATTAAATAAAACAGACATTCTGAAAATAAACAAAATATCAAATATGGTTGCACTTTGAACACACTTGACGTAGTATGTGGTATTGCAACGGATTGGCTAGTAAGTGTTTGCAACATTGAAACAGACTTATTTTAGTTCAGGCAAACTTTTGTTGTTCAGGCGTCTTTTGTTTGTTATGCCTAGATGGGACCATTCAGTCAACAGAGTTATAGGTCGACATATACGTACAGAAAACATAATATTAAAATCAAAAACAAAATCCAAACCACTGTCAAAAAAATTCTTTATTAATAACCGGTTTCGGCAATAGCAGCATCAATCAGACCTTTGTCAAAAACAGCTGTTCGTTTGACTTTATATATATTTATTTTATATATAATTCTTTTAAGGAATTTGTTTTATATACAGGGTGGTCCGAACTGTATTCCGGAAACTTCACCAGCATATTCTACAGATAAAAATAAGTAAAAAAGTTCGTATAAATGTATGTCCTAAAATTGCTAGTAGATACAGGGCGTAGAAGTTTCATTTTTATTTCGATTTTTCCAGATAATTTCTGAAGTATCGTCAATATTTAGATGAAAATTGGTGTCTGGGAGTTTTTTGACATGAGAAATTTGATTTTGATGTCAATATGACTCCTATTTGTAGGGGGCGCCACCTATATGTGTTTTATCTGTTTTTAAGGGTAAAGTAAGTAAAGTTAAGGCGTCCGTACCTGTATGAAACTACTGGGTGAAAAAATATACATTTCCGATATTTTTTGCGTAAAAAATATCTCTTGGTAAAAATGGCTACGGGCAACCGTTCCCGAGATATTTGGAATGGAAATAGTCAATACATGTCATTACCCAAGCAACACCGTTCAAGAGTATATATTTAATAAACGTACTATCCGTATAAATATCGTATATTTTTTTAAAGGTATAAATAATATACGTATTTCATATTACTTTTTTTATATGCAACGTATAATATACGCATATTAAAGGGCTTTATTTTCCGTTAATCTTAGTATATACATTTATTATAGTGAATATTATTATACTGCTTTTTAACGTATATTCGAAACATATATTATAAATATATAATATTTCGATTTTGGCACCTAGTCAGTTATATTCGTAATTTTTGAAAAGTTCAAGTACAAAGGGCATAATAAGTAACTATCAAACTGTTTTTTGTGATTTTTTGATAAATTTGAACTCCAATGTAAAAATATTAACAAGAACTGAATTTCAAAAACGTATATAACCAGTATCAATAAATTGTATAGAAATGGTATATAGACTACATATACGAAACGTTTATTCGACACTATAAAATCTGGTCACGTGATTAGATCTACCAATCATATCGTTAGACTTTTTACAGCAGATGGAATCTAAATGGAATATGGTATACGTATATGAAACCTATACTCGACACTACAAAATCTTGTGACATGAAACATCTTGACTCAAGGTATTCACGCATCACGCGTATGATCAAGGGTAAAGACGCCATTGTGTCCACACATTGTTTGTTTGATATCAATATAAGGTGCGTTATTTAATATAATATTTTTCCTAAAGACATAAATATGGTATATCCAGCTACTCCTTTTACACAATTTATATTTCAATTGCAGTAGGAAGAGAAAGTACACTTAGGCTCTGTTACTTACGTATTACGCGTTGTAGCGTTTTGAGGATTTTTTTTCGTTATTTTTTTCCTTTGGAAACGTAATTGAGGGTAAGTTTTAAATTTATCAATATTTATAAGCTTTTATTTAACTTCACATGTACGTATTTATGTAAATTTTTATATGCATGAATATGTTCATGTTCAATGAGTTTTTGCAGTACTGAGTATAGGTTTTGTAAACGTATACTGTATACCGTTTACATACCCCTGTTCCCAATTAAAAAACAATTCGCTCAAACGCTTTTTTAGAAAACAGACCTTTCTTAAACCTAAACTTTTTTTTATTACTTTTAGTACATGGCTTAAATAAAAACTTGTTGTTAGGAAGTTATTTATTATACCCTATCAGTAATTATTTTATAATATATATCGTTTGCCCTTTCTCCATTTTTTAGAAGCTGTCAAACTTTCTTATTCTGGTAGACAACTGGATTGATTTAAACGATTTTGTAAAATAATATACTACTCGTATAACAGAAAAAAAATGTGAACGTATGTATATATTATTCTTTATATTTTATGTTTAGTTATATTTATGCATTTGTCAGTTTTCTTATTTTAACAATTATGATATGTTTTGTTTATTATTATTTCAGTAATGTATGGTATGTCTCCCCAATTTTTAAGATGTTATTAACGAAGATTTCAAATTAAGTTTTTTATACTTATTCATCAAAAATCCTACCATTAGTGATAAAAAATGTATTAGCAAATTAAATTTAGTAATTTAACCACCTAGCATTATTGTTTTTATTAATAGGAAGAATTTATGAAGCAGTAAAAACAAACTTTTTAATTTTAGGTTACTGAAAGAATGCAATATTATGTTATTGTATAATGGGGTTATAGGGTATAATTTGTCACCATTATGTAGCATTTCTTAAGTAACCTAAGGTTTGTTTATACTGGTTCAAAAATCCTTCATATTAATGAAAAACAATAATGCTAGGTGGTTATATTACTAAATTTCATTTCCTGGATACGTATAAATTTGTATGTAAAAATAACATTTAATAAACGGTTCTGTTTCCCGTATAAATTTATAAAGAAAAATAACATTTAATACACGTATTTGGTCTACGTGTAATCCTAGTATATCATAAATTGCTAATATACGTTTACCATCATGTATAATATTGGTATATGTATATACGATTATAAAAGGAATAGAGAACCCTTGAATATATACGTTGAAGTCGCGGACATTTTGCAGTTTATTATACGTTTCACATTCTTTGTCGTATACCTAGATAAGACGGACGGTATTAGATCAGTTTAAACGTATAATATACCATTGTGTGTTGCTTGGGTATTGACGAAAAATAAACACATTGAGTAGATAGTTATATAACTGAAATAGTAAATTTGGGAACTTTTTATTTTTTTAAATTAATCATAAATTTTTCTTTGAAAAAATGATAATAAAAAAGCTTCTGTTGAACTTTTGACACAAAAACATTTCAAATTTATGATCTCAGTTTAATAACTATTTAGTCAACCTGTTTAATTTATGTCAATGACGACAGGTATTGAGAATTTCGATTCCAAATATCTCGAGAACTATTACTCGTAGCGATTTTTACCAGGAGATCTTTTTTACGTGGAAAATGTCGTAAATGTACCATTTTTTACCCAGTAGTTTTATACAGGTACGGACGAAAAGTTATTACTCTTTAAACCAGTTAAAAAATCTATATGTGGGGCCATTTCACAAATAAATATAATAATGGAAATTCTAAAGAATTATGGTCCCATTTAAAACTTATCGATTTGAAGTCTAGGAATGATAATTCCATACCAGCAGAAATAACAAATGTTGAGCATATTATTGATCATTTTGTGGAATCCATACCAAAATTACATGTAGACAATGATATTGTTTAGTTTTATGAACAAAACAATTTTGTGAACCACGACTTTAATTTTCATGCAGTAGATGAGATTGAGGTTTTTTTTTTACTTGTCATTTCCACCTGAAGAAAGTATTCAAGCTATCTCGGCATTAAATTATGATTTGAATCAATTTTCTCTCACGGCAAAAAATCATGGTCTTTTTTTAAACCCTAAGAAGTCTGTAGTATTAGTTTTTGGTAAGGGTGGTGACAAAAGTTTTTGGATTGCTTTTCGAACTCAATTGAAACAAATAATTCACCTTTACTATAAAAACGAGTGCATAAAATTTAGGAGTTATAATGGATCAAAATCTCGGATTTCAAGAGCATATAAATGCATGCCTTCAGAAAGCTTA